GTTCAAGATGCACTGAGTGTTCACCAAGACCCAACTTGAACACAAGGTAAGGGTCTTATGCCTATAACTAAGCAAACAGACACACTGACAGTTCCGGAGGCCATGCCTAAACCAGAAGTTGCTTCAAATGATCCAAGAACCCTATCCTATCCTTTCTTATGAAACTTCTCTGAATTAGCCAGCCACGTATGCTGAAAATAAAGACACAAAAGGAAAGGGTAGGATAGTATATACTTTCTTTTCCTTTCCTTGTCCATTAGAAAGATTGGCAGAGAGTGCAAATATAAAATATGCATAAAAAGAAGTTAATAAGAACAGTTGAGCTCATTTTATGCAGCGTTTCTATCATTCTGGTAAGAATAAACTACATATGCATGAATGACCTGCAAAGAATGAATTATGTAATGTTTATGATTCCACATGCAAGTTAAGTGTTCTTATAGTTTCATACAAAGATGAATAGAGATGAACAGTAAAATTTGTCCTAAGAATTAAAATTTTTCAGTTTACTTACTCATAATGACAATAAATAGTATATTTTTTAAAAAACCTCTTATCAAGTCAAGGAGGAGGGAGACTATAAAAGAAAGGAAGAGCTTTATCTTTCAGGACCTTCAATGACACCTTCTCACTGCTTCTTGAAAAAGAAATCGCATGTCTCCATTTTGCTGTTGGTCCTGCAATTTCTGTATCAGTAGTTGGCCCTGATCCCATGACTTCAAGACGTTGCCATAAGCTGCGATAAAACTGATTTCAGAGCACAGTGCCATCCAAGGCCTTTTCCCAGTATGACTTCCTTCTAGGCCTTGTCACATCCCTGTCCTGGGGCTTTCGTTGGGATTCACGGATATTATCTGCCCCTTTGGAATAACAGGCACACAAGCAAAACTCTCCCAAACATAACTCCAGAGCAATGGGGAAATAAAGGTGAAAATGAAGTGGTGGGGGCTTATAGAGGCACAAGCTCCTAGCCTCAGGTCCAAAGCTGGGGTTTGTTGCCATCCATCTCCACTGCCTCGAACAGTGAACTTGGAATATCATTTGAAAACACCAGCAAAGTCATCATGTGTTATGTCCCTTTGATCATACCCCAGGTGGGGCCACCACAGACCTACAGGAGCAGATGTAGAGCAAAAGGTTCTGCCCTTGAAGGGCTTCTGCAGAGAACATCCCAAGGCCCCAGGGGAGTCTTGTGTCTTGTCCATGGTCAATAAGAGTTGATCAAGAGGCCAATACATGCTTCCTCTCTGGCCTCAGTAAGGATCTGATTCGTACGTCTTTTTTTAATCATTGTGTCAAAATAATTTGAAATTCTGAAGGATCAAGATGTTTTCCATCTTTCCTTGAAGTTCTTAGAGAACAAGACCTATACAATCACATTCAGGGGCTCTGTACAACTGGCTAGATCCCTCCCAAATGAAAGGAAATCCAAGCCAACCCAGATTACAACCTGGGACATTTTATAAATTGCCTGCACATTATGTGGTCTCTTCAAGTCATCCAAACTGGTTTCTAGGTACTTCTGGGCTAGTCCAAGTTCCTTTTAAACACCAACCCTCCCTCCCAAGCACAGTTCCATGTAGAGGGAGGATGGATCCCTGAGAAAATATCTTCATACTGCGGACGCCTGGAGGCCGTCGGGCTGCTCAGCTGTGCTGCAGCCCCAGTAGAAGGGTCAGCTGCCTTTCTGCCGGAATGAACCTGCAGTGGCTGGTCTCCTTAATTTTAGTAGGCATTCAGGGGAAAGGATATGCAGGGGAAGGACATGGTCAGCACTGTTCTGGCTCTAACAGCAACAGTGATCTTCTTTCCTTCCTTTCTAGCCAATGAAAATTGTAAACATACATTTAACATTTTTATGTTGCCATTTAAAAGAATCTTCATAAGAATATTTTTTCTTTTTTTTTGTTCTTTCTTTTTTTGGGGAGAGGTTTTTGCTATAGGGCGCATGAGCTCGCCAGACAGACAGAGAAAGACAAAGAGACAGAAAGTGAGAAATCACCCCCCAGGGGGGATAGCCATGCCGCAATCGCTTCTCCTCCATTCTCCTCTCGGGATCTTGGGCACACACGCACAAGCACCCGGCGTGAGTTTAAGCCGCCGGGTCTGGGACTCAAACTGCGGTCAACTACATGGGAGTCCAGCGACATAGCTATTATGCTAACTGCTGGTCCTGAATCTTCATAAGAATATTTTAATGTAATATAAATATGCCCTGACATAATGGTGAGATTAAAAGCAAGGTGACAAGACTAGATGGGGGGGGTCTTCAAATAGTTCATGAAAAATGTGCATTATGAAAAGAACTATGTGTGGATTTCAAAATTATTTTGCACCAAAATAAACTTGTACTCAAATCCCATTTTCCATGAACATTTTGAAGCTTCATCATCTCTCTCTCTCTCTAGGAGAACCTCAGGAGAACTTTGTTAACAGTTGACACATTTATATTCACAGAAGAGAATACAGAGGAAGGAAATACACCCCAGTGGATTTCTTTGGGTGGTGAAATCAGGGGTCATTTTTTATTTTCTTCTTTTAACTTTTTGGTATTTTCTAAGAGAAAAAACATACTATAAATGTCTGTTACTTTCCTAATCCAACAAGAAAGAATACATTCCTATTAGCTGGGACTTCTGAGATAGTAGTAAGCCCATTTTATGCATTGCCCAGAAGGCTTCTCCTTCTTCCCAAGGTGACTTCTATGTGGAATTCTTCCAGCTGAATTCTCCATACAAGATACAGAGTTTGGCTTTGATAAGACTGGTCGACTTATAATCACGCTTTCTTAGGTGACACTTGACAAAGCTTGGAAATAGCCCCACCAGAGTCATTTATCAAGATAATATATTTCTTTCTCCTGGTTACCAGGACTGAGAGCTCCCAAAGGAATTTTCAAAGTGTAGGAGTTTGGAGTCTGCCTGAAACTGCGCTCAAGGGAGACAGAGGCCCAGGGGACACGGACTTTGTGCATCCAGGTGTGATGCCAAGAACACTGCCTTTGGATTATATGGTGCCAGGACTGAGGTTTTTCTCTACAAAACTGATGACCCTGTTATTTTTCTATGGGCTATAGTGAATAAACATGACAACATAAGCAGGGTGCACACAGTAAGTTATTAACATTAACAAGGGGTGGGCAATGGAGAAGGAAGCAGAGGGGATGAGCTTCTATTACTCCCTTTCATTGCACACCATTGAAGTTTCCCAGCCTATGTGTAGGGTAGGGATGGAAGTGGAGGAGCTGTCCAGATCTCAGCCCTGCCCCGACTTGGATGGCCTGACCAAGGATCCATCTTTGGTTTCACCATAGAAATGTAACCACTTCTGCGGTGGAGGGCAGGCAATGCTAGTCACTGGCTGGCAGCCAAAAGCGTGGGGTGAGGGGCAGCCCTCGAATACCTATGGATAATACTGAATCTATGACTCCATTACCGCTCCAAAATCAGCACATTAGCAACCCAGAGCACTCTTCCTCCACCTCTGACTGCTCTGCCCTTTAACTATTCATTGGGCAGGGACCAATATGCCAGAGACTTACAAGAAATAAAGGGTATTACACTGGACCTCGTAATGGATTGAAATATTCCATCTCTCTGTTATACTATTTTGTCTGTTGCCATTATCATTAGTGCTTCTCAGAGGCCCACCATTACTACAACTGCTGCTACTACTACTATCACTATTAATCCTTGAAGTTTGTAAACTACTTCACAATTTGCAAAGTGCCTCCCTGGCTGAGGTTGTGTGTGATTAAAGATGATACTGGCCATGGTATTATGGGCTGGCATTAAAACCTCAAAGGGAACAAAACAGAACTGCACTTAGGAAAAAGTATCGGTATTCATTTTTATCCCTCAGCTGCCTGGGACATATCCACCATCCCCAGCCACACCCAGTCACACTCCCTACCCTACTGTGCTCTAACCAGTCACTACTTTAAGCAACTTTGATGGCTAGGAACGAGGAGAATTAGCCTGTGATTTGGTGAGAGAAGCTTGACCATGCCCAAATTCCACCAAATGAGATGGGAGAACAAGGAATGCCTAGTAAATGGAAGGCCATTGCCTGTGCCAACACTCCCGGCTTCTCACAGAAGGCCCAGGGAAGACTCAGACTCGTTTTTTTGTTTGTTTTTAAAGAGATTTAAAAATTGTCATGTGGCTAAGTTACAGCTATTAAAAATCTTTTTTAATTAAAGAAAATAAAGTGTCTCATTTTGACCCTCCCTCCCAAAGCGAACTCTGGAATATACACCCTGTTGGCTCCATGAAAGGCCCCCTTTTCCTCTCCTCTAGCTGGTGTGTGAGAACAGGGCAGGGAGGAGAGCAAGCCTGCAGCAAGGCTCGAGCCCAGCCACGAACTAGGTTCCCCAGAGGGTGTTGTCTTCACCTGGCAACAGAGAGAAGTGGCATTTTGGGGATCCATTTTGCTCAAGATGCTGGAGGCACTGAGGCAAACTTCCCTTTGCTACTGAGGCCAAATAACTTGGGCAGGGACCGTACCCACAGGGATGCGATTGGTCGGGGGAAGGCGAAGGCCAGCTTGGGTGCCAACGATACCTGAGGAGGGCAGCCAGGTGTGTGTGCCCCCCCCGCACCACCCCAACCCCCGCGGGAAAACGCAAGCTTGGCGGAGCAAGGGCCCACCCTGAGCGCTGCTTCCGCATTTTGAACCCAGGTCCACTGAGAAGCAGGCCCGCTGGGCCTGTCTGTCCAGTCCTTTATAGGTGAGATTTACGATGTATGCAAAGGCAGCGGCGCGAGGTGGCTATGGCCTTCAGAAGGCATACCCTGAAAGTCACACTTTTTCCAAAGCGCCTCCCTCCCAGGTCCTCCTCCCCGGAGCATCGCGGCCACAGCCGGGAGGTGTGCACCGCGGGCGGGCCGCAATGGTCCGCCCGGACGCAGAGGGGCCGCGCGGGGGGCTGGGGCCCCGCCCGGGGCGGGAGGCTGGCGGGCAGGGGAGGAGGGGCCGGGGCGCGGCGAGGCGCGGCTCACCTGCCAGGCTGTTGTAGCAGTCGATTTCGATGGCTTCCACCGTCTAGCTTTGCTCCTCCCAACAGCGGGCCGGCGTG